GTGCATGCCATACTATTCCCACAGTCACAATATTACACAGTGAGTCGAAAGACTGGCTCCCAAACCTCAGTTGATTCTATAAGTTATAAGAGCAATGACTTCTTTACAAAATTAATTCAGTCTTATAATTTATATAATTTATAATGAACATAATAAGCGTTAGAGGTAGTTTCGTCAAAATCATGAACATTAACAATGTAATTCCGTTTATGAATACTGACACTGTGGGCACTTGCTTATTTGTAATGCACTTGCTTATTTGGGACATTTATTTGTAGACATACGTAAAAAATTTAAATAAATAGGCATTTGATGAAAATTTGTGGAAAAGATGTTTCTAAATAGTACTTGATTTATTTTATGTATTTTAGCGCATTTTGACGCTGGAGTGAGAGTAAGTCTGTTGGTAAAGTTCAGCAATGAGTAACGCAAACTGAGAGAGGTACTTGCAGTCCAGCCGGAGATGAGAGGCAGCAACATCTAAGAGTCTGTTGAATTTGTAGGAAAAGTCATAGACAGGTGGTTCCTTCACCATAATAGTAGGTTAAACTGATTAATTGGTATCAGTATCGCAATCTCTCTTCAGTTATTTTAGAAAAAATGGAAATAATGATTTGCACAAGAAAAATTATCCAAAATACCGGGAAGTGTTGTAATGTAGGTGAGAAATCTAAATTTGCATATTTGAACATAAATAAAAATCTATTTGATGTTAAAATAGTAAAGAATACCAACAAATTGAAGAGTAATTATATATGCAATAGTTGGGAATTTTTACTGTGCCTGAAGAATAGTTCACTGTGGAAGACTGTTGCATGTTTGGCTTAGGGTCCAATGGTCTCCAGTCCTCCAGGGACAAACTGGCACTGATGGTCCAAGTCCCCATATCTACTGAGTTCAGATTCTTCCCTATAACAGCAGCACCACACCTGCCTAACAATGAGACTGAAGTATCTATGTTAGTCAGAGTAAATACGCAGGTATAGTCCCATACTGCAAGTCTGTCTTCCAGGGAGAGTGATCCCATCAGGACAGCATTACCTAAATTAGTCCTAGTATTATTTTTATATCCCCGTATCACCACCAGTGAAACTTTTATAATCCATTTAGAATAGTGATCATCTTTTTGTCTTGTTTAGAAACTTCTGCAGCAGGGTTAGAGTGAGTTATCCCAACCATTTAATTAGCCATTACTGTATTTCTTTTAAAACATACTCTGATGCTTGGAATATGCACGTCTTTCTGGGCCTTGGTGGTACTGAACCCTTTGGCATCACTGTTATGCCCAAAACTACAAGCACTCTATCAGACACTTATGAAAGCAGATTATTATTATTTATAATCAAAAAAAAAGCGCTAAGCACAAGGGCTATACAGCTTATGAAAGCAGAGATACGGTAGGGCCAACTCTTGAACTATGCAAGATACGCAATCTCTACCATGCTTGGAGAGCAAGGTTTAGATATCTGACTTTTTTTTTATACTGGCGACATTATTGGTCACAACAAACCTAAGTTAATGACTTTAAATTCATGATTTAGTATCTAGTTATTTGTCGGGCTGAAACTGATAGTTCAGGTGGTTTGCAGACTTGCACCCTGGGGCCTCTAGTAGGGTGGGAGGAGATTTGTTCTTCGTTCCCCATATTTTTCATTCGTAAAGCTTTTTCAAGCTTTTTTATAAATTATAGTTTGAGCGAAATGTTATCCCAATAAAACTTTGTTCTTCATATTGTGTCTTTATATCTACGCACTTCTGGGGGCAGCTACTGAATGAATTAGGGCGAAATACGTTTCCTTTGGGTTAACCTACCTTGGTGAAAAACAGCCAGTGATTTCAAAACAGAGTTTTTTGGACGAACAGATTTGGGTTATGAATTACGACTTCAGTTTTTGTTTCCCGGGGGAAAGAGCGGCCCTAAAATTGTTTTAAAACTGGTGCTAACTCACATGTCCATGAAAACAGAAGTCATGCCAAACCCTCTGGGTGGGTGTAAAGGTGATATTGATGGGTGGAGTGTCACTGTTGAGCACTCTTAACGGTGATGACCAAAGCCCCATCCACGACAACAAAGACAGTAGCGAGGCCTTTATCCTTTCTTTCAGCACGACCACCACAGCTCAACACAACAGGTCACGTCAGATTACCTTAGGTCAAAAGGCAGGTAGCCTTAGATGGAACAAGGTCACCTAAGGACACGGCAGACTACCTCAGCTCAACACTGGGCACATTAGGTCACTGAAGACTTTCTGTTGGGAAACCAATTAACTAATATAAACAATATACCAAGCTTGTTTACAATATTCTAGTATAAACCGATGTTTACGTATATGCCTTCAACTGTTTTTGCATTATGCATCAATGTAACGTATTCAGTACTAATTAGTTTTCATCCTAGCCCAAGTTTGACAAAAATGCTGTGCATACTCTGAACTTTTCAGTTTTACTGCATTTATGTAATGTTTTGAAAATGAAAATAATGATTGATTTACATTTTTTTGATCCATCCCGGAAAGACCTCTTGGCAGCTGCCTCATCTAGCATTTTAAACAGAAAAGCTTGTCGAACTGTACGACAGTTTAGTCTGAAAAAATATCTACCAGCCTAATCATTTTTACTGCACTAAGCTCCATTTAGCGTTTTCTACCATATACCGGAGTGGAAAATTACATTTATCTGAATGTATCATTATGTACATAACAATAAATGAACAAAGATAATTATTATTTATCAGTTAGACAAGTAGGAATTTGGGACACCTAGGTCACAAAAATGTCCCCTTCGATACCTACCACTGTCATATCCACAAGTTGCTCTAGACCTATTAATTATAAATAAAAAATACATCACCAGGAATGCTGGTAAATATATAAATTTGTGGACTGTATATTAAAAATATAATAAATGTATTATATATTATATAATATATTATATATTATATATATATATATATATATATATTATATATATATATACACATTTATACAACAGAAGGAGATATATCTTAATCATAACACTCACCAATTTGACAGGAGATTAATGTGTATCATACTCAGAAAACCTCACTGTCTATCTATGAAAATAACACTGGCCAGAGTTAAACATAACAAACTTATCTGAGGTTCCTGGAGCTGTCTTGTCCAGTCGCCTGATATCTCAAGTTATGCAGGAATGCACATCCAACAATTTCGCCTCCTATTTGAGAGGTGTCAACCCCAATTTTAACCTCTAGAGCACGAAAAAATTCTTCCCATTATTCACAACGTGTTATTCAAATTTAAACAAAATGGCGACTGTCCCTTCTCTTCAGGCTCCAGTTTCCCATTTTCTATGACATAAATGTTATTAATATCAGTATGGTCATCTATTAAATATAAATACTGAATTTCTGGAAAATATATAGTT